AGCTTCATTCTCTCGTAAGTGTCGTAAAAAAGGATATCGACTGACAAGCCACTATCCACTAAGATTTTCTTCACCATAAAATTGGAGATGATGGCTGCGACCACGAGGGCATTGTCGTGGGGGATAGCAACCCCCTCTAAGTCCTCGTTGGTGAAGACGAGGGCATGTGGACAATTCGGTCTCTGCGGAGTGTTTGGGTACTTCTGCTTCTTTGGGGCAGGCTCCTAGATGTTAAGTTGCATAGCGTAGGCTTTTCAAGCTGAGGTCGAGGCCCCACCCGAGGCCATGCCTCCGGCGGTGATGTCGATGATGCCTGCCACTTGCTAGTGTTACTGTTGTTGTTGCTGCTATTGGGATGACGAAGCGCCGACCTCTCCTCCAACAAATTGCTTGAGGAGCCCGTAGTGGATGAGGGACTCTATTTCATTCTTTAGATCCTAGCAGTCCTTGGTGTCATGCCCGGTGCCGCGGTGGTACTTGTAGTACTTTGTAGGGTTCCCCCTCTTGGGGTACTGCTTCAGATTCATTGGCCACTTCACAAACTTTTCTTCCCTAATTTGCATCAGTATCTGGGTGTAGGTGGAATTGATTGGCATGTAGTCCTTGTAGGCCGAGGACGGAGCCAGTGGCTTCTTGTTGTCTTTGCTGCCATGGTTGCCGGGGTGGTGTTGGTCCCCGCATTTCCTCTTCTTCTCCAGGTGCCCATTGTGGTGCTTGGCTACCCTTTCTTGGTTGTCCCTGGCCGAAGCTTCTTCAGCCGCGATGTATTTGTGGGCCTTTTATAGGAACTCGAGTTTAGTCTTCGGCGGGGTCTTATCGACCGACCACTTGAGAGTCGAGTTGGGGCAGAGTTCGTTGATGGCTGCGTGCATGGAGACCATAGGGTTGAGGTCTCAAACTTCGAGCTCTTCTCTCTTAAAGCGGTCGATGTGAGACCGTTGGCTTTCACCCGGCTCCTGTTTGAGCGACATCAGAGAAACTACGTTCTTCTGGCATCGTCTACTGCTGATGAAGCAGGCGAGGAACAAGGTTGTAAATTGCTCACATGAGCTGATTGATCGAGGAGGAAGGCTGGAGAACCAGCGGTGAGTGGTCCCCCTGAAGGTAGCCTGGAAAGTCCGGCACGTCAAGGCGTCGGAGTAGCCATATAGTATCATGGGCGCCTAAAAACCCTCCAGGTGGTCATCGGGGTCAGTGCTCCCATTGTACATTTCCAGTGTGGGAGCCTTGAAGGGTGGGGGAAGAGGCTCCGAGATGATTTCTGGGGTGAATGCATCCATGTGGCCAGCGGAGTTGCCATGACTGGTTGAGGCATCGGCTCGGCTCTCCTTAACCTGGCGGAGCTCATCCTTGGCGGCCCTAATCTCAGCTCGCAACTTGATGAGCCCTGGGTCAGCACGAGCATTCGGCTCGGACTCCCAAATACTCAAAGACAGGATCGTGCGCTTCTCTACGGGTGCGATGATCATTCAAAACGTCCCTGAGATATGAGACGGGAGGTGGGGTGGGGTGGCGTCGACTCTCGCTTCGGGAGCGAACTCTAGGGCGACCGAGGTGTCCACCGTTGTCCCGGGGGGCCTCCTTATGGCGGTGGTGGTGGTGCTCCAAAGATTGATGGCTGTCTTCAGATTGAGCAGGCACACTCTCCCTTCGGCTAGGAGGATAAATATTCCTTCGAGGCGAGTCTGGGAGGCGGTTATTGCCCAATTCTAACGGTTTGGCCAGCGGATTACCATGGCCGAGGGCTGGTGGCTCAACGTTCTCGTGTCAGCCCTGATCTTTTGACACCCCAGCGGGGCGATCGCCTTGAGAGGGACCTCCTGCTCGGGGGCAAACTTCCTCCATTCCTTGGGTGAGGCGGTCCAAACGATTGAGGACAACATATAATTGCTCGTAGGTGACTAGGTTCTGGTTGTTCTTGGCTCTCCTCACCATGACTTTTGAGCTAAAGGGGGGTTTGGATTTTGAGTATTATTACTTTTTATCCTAAAGTGGGTGTCGTCTTAGCAAACATTCCCACAGACGACACCAATTGTTACTGCACGGATTGGCCGGGGGCAACGAAGTAAATTCACTCTTTAGGTTCCAAGTGTTGGCCAAGGACCCTGGGGCCTCGGAAAAGATTGAGTGATGCCAAGGTCCGCAAGCCGAGGTGAAGTATTCCTTCCGAGGACTATGGTAGCTAAGGATTGTAAGTCGAGGCGAAGTCCTTGGTGACCAAAGATATTGCAAAACAAGGTGTTGGAGGCCTCGGGGTGGATACCCGAGGCAAAGGCTCCGACGCTCAAGTTAGTATGAGGTGTAGAGTAGGGAAGGGTGTAGGAGAGCCCTTAGAGAGAGTCCTCAGATGCACCAGACCTCTTCGAATTAATGCTAAGAAGACAAGGTTGGTACTAAGAGTAAATGAATGAGTGATGTTGGAGTTTCTCTGTTCCAACCCCCTTTAAGGGGCAGTTACCTCTTATTTATACTTGAGCGTGCTAGGGGTAGGTGAAGATGAACGCTCCGGATGAGAGCTATACGAGGTCAGGCTGCAGGCCCTGGTTGGTGCGTCTGACGATTATGTGGTTGGCTCCGTACGAAGGAAGTAGGGCTCTCTCCTACTGTGACTGACGCTATCAGGTGTTAGTGGGCTAGGCCTCCCAGCCTGATGTGGACTGAACCAGGCTAACATCAAGGATCACTTGCAGTCCCTTGACATCAAAATCTGGCAGCACCAGTAGGAGTGCCTTCTTGGTATCTTCAATACCGTCAAGTTAGGACAACGAGGCATACTCCGCCAATGCATCCAGGTAGTCTGAAGACTTCTTGTACACCTCCACCGCCTCGGTCACTGCCTTCTTTGACTCTTCTGCCAAAGCCCTAGCTTCGATAGCTTTCACCTCTGCCTCGACAGCCTTCTTTTTGGCCTCGATAGCTCGCCTCTCCACCTCCGTTGCGATGCTTTCCAGCCGCACCCGCTCCATTTGCTCTTTGTAGAGCCCCTGCTGCACCTCCTTCAGTTGAGCCTCAAGGTGCTCCCGAACCGATTGCTCATCCAGAAGCGCCTTTCGGAATTTCTAGTACTTGTCCTCGACGGCCTTCTTTTCCTTCTCAGCCTTGTCAACACGACCCATGACCAGTCTTGTTCGGTCCCCCAAACCGAATGGAGTCCCTTGTCGCTAACCAGCTCTTGGCTGACCCCCTTCGGTTCTCTCGGGGACCCCCTATTTTGATGGAGGGGCTGATGAGGGACCAGATGGGCACTCCCTAGGCGTGGATCTCTGCACCACTTCCTCCGCCTGCCTGTTAGTGTTGGCAAGCTTCCGCGGGGGCTCCTCCCTCGGCAGTGTCTATAGCGGGCCTCTTCCTACTCGCCTCGGGCCCATCCGTGGGCCTCTTTGGCGCCTCTACCCTAGTGGTGGGCTTTTTCGGCGCCTCAACCGTCTTCTTCGGTGCCACCACCGGCTGCTTCCCCTTGGTGGGAACCTGTGGATCTCCCCCTTTCACCAGGGCAGAGGGCAGCTTCATCGCCGGGCCTCTTCGGCGTTTACCCTCCAACTTTCTTCTCGACCTGCTTCACCCGGGCCTTCTCCAGTAAACGTTACTTGGCGTCCATTGGCACTTCTGCGAAACAACAAAAGAAAACAGTCAATGCATTAGCGAAAAAGAAAAGAACGTGGAAGATGCACCAACCATAGAACCTCTCCTACCAAGGAGGGCTGGGCTAATCCCAGCGAAGACTAGGGGGACCTCCTCCTCCACTAACGGTTTAACCTAGAATGTCCCCATCACAAGCAAGTGAGCTACAACTGCAGCCTCTTCATCTTGGAGCGATGGGGAATATCTCTCAACGATGACACAAACCTCCCCCCAGTCGGACCTGAAACGCCAGCCCTCGGGGCAGGAGACGTAGAAGAACTTATCCTTCCACCTGTGAACGGACGAGGGGTTATGCACAGGCTTCCCCCTCCTTGGATGGAAGTAATACATTTTGGCCTCGGAAGCATGCTTCCTCGACGCGAATATGGCACAATATTGCCTCAA